AAAAAAAAAAAAACAATCTTGGGGCTTCTGGTGCTTAAAAGAAGTCGAGGTCGTCCGGAGCGTCGAGGTCTCTGTACTCGATGATGGAGCGAGGGTCGCCTCGCATGCCCCTGCAAACAAACACACACACAATGAGATAACTGATGTGATTCATACACTCCACTGTGTTGTCGTCACAGCGCATGTTCTTTACCTGCTGTTTCGCTGTTTCCCAGAAAACCCCCCGCCGCCTCCTAAATGACCTCTGAAGTTGTCATAGTTACCCCGCCCAGCTCCAAACTGGTTTGGTGGATGGTGGAGTGCGCCACCTAAAACACCCACACACACATACACCTTAAACGACTGCATCACTGCACTGAAAAAGCAAAGCTGAGGTTTTTTCATTTTAAATACTTAATTAAATTCTATTATGTTTGTGTTTATATATACCTGGGAAACCGGGCATGGGTGGTCTGACTCCAGGCGGATATCCCAGAAGGCTCTGCTGCTGCGGCGACTGTCCGGGAAATCCTGGTAAACCCGGAGGAGCGGCTAAAGGCGGAGAGAAGGAAACGCATCAGAAAAGAAAAAACAGTAACGTGAATAGAAGGCAAAACAGAGTCCCAGGGGCACAACCTGGTGAAGGCGGTGGGAGGGGCTTGTTCTCAGGCAGGGCAGGTCTTTTAGCGTCCAACAAGAAGTTGTTGAAGAACTCAACCTCCTGCCGGACACCAGTGACCTTCTCGCCGTGCTTGTTGAGAATGTGTTTGCGCACAAACTCGGGAGCCTTGAACTTCTTCCCGCTCAGAGGACACAGCCACTTGTCTTTGCTGAGCTCCTGAGTGTTGGCCGACAGGAACTTCTCCACCTGCACAGGTGAGACACACAGAGGAGGGAGGAGAGCTCATCATTGGAACAACTGTCTTACACTCACATGTACACACTGCGTTTATGGTCGTTTCTATGAAAAGGTCGTACGCTGTTAAAAGGTCATTCCTTCTATAGCTGCAAATCTCTATTGTTTTTTTAAATTTCTGAAATGCCAAATGAATTATGAATACAATCCTGAATTAACGACACTTAAAGTGGAGATACACACACCGACAATACAATGTTTAATTTTATTTTGACAGCAAAATAAATAAATAAATAATAATAATAAAAAGGTAACATTGCATGTGTTTTTCTTGTTTTAATGAGTAATTATGAGAATTTACTTCCTTCTTCCAAAACATTTTCTTGTAGTTGATGAGGAATAATTAAGAAAACAAAATTAGAACTTGTAAAATCAAAGACAAGACTTGATCTGAATCGTTTTGTGATAAGCTGCAGATCAGGAGGTCGTCTAATAATCTCAAAGTCAGTAGTTGGATAATATGAAGGGCTTTTATTGTGAAAGGAACAGGAAGTAGCACTTTTTTCTTTTTCTTTTGCACATGTGGGACACATCTATTGGCGGGCGGTGTGTCGTACCTCTTGTTCCGGGTCTTTCTTCCCCAGCCTGGTCGCTTCTTCCTCACTCAGAGTCTCAGAGGGCGAGAGCAGCGGAGCCAGGCGCTCCTCGCACATCCGCTGGTGTTCACTCACTGTCCAATCAGAGCACAGCAACACTAACGTCAACTTTGCAGCCGTGTATTTGGAGCTGTAGTATACAGATGTTCCCTAAACGCCTCAGTGTTGAGATTAAATAAACTAAAACACGTTGTGATGTATTCGAGTTACAGATCATCAACCCGCGAAATTTTCCATAAATTCACAGGTGAGAAGGACTTTATGCGTCTCTGGTTTCTAGGAAACCACAACCTGTTTTTCTAGAAATATACCATGAACGGCTGATCTGCAGTGTATGCGTGTGCGTACCCTCAGTTGCAGTGATCTTGCCCACAGGCAGGGGTCCTCGAACGTGGATCAGCCCGCAGCGGTGTGGCATCTCATCCTCGGCGGGATACTCACAGAAATTATAATAATCAACAGAGTGAACCAGACGCAGGTAGAGCAGCAGGCGGTCCAGCACCTGTACACACACACACACACACACACACACACACACACACACGTGTAAATACACGCTTACATGAAGCAGGCAGCACCTGATCTACATGAAGCTCCTCCCACCTTCAATAGCTTATCATCTGTCTCCAAGGTGACGTCAGAGGAGGCAGGGTCCTTGGCGTCACCGGCGTCATCGGTGTTGAACCCAGAGGCGCCGATGAGCTCCTCCTCCTCTGCGCTGACTTCCTCTATCAGGTAATCTGTGATGTTCTTCAGGATGGGGTTGGTCTCCATCTACACACACACAGAGGAATGATGTCAGTCGTGAGGGGGTTATGGGTAATGCAGTGCCCAGATAGTGTTTGACTGACTGGTGCTTCTGACTCTGAACCCTTGAGCCTGAGCACATTTAAAGACCGCACCTGTCCGGTCCACAGCTCCCCTCTCTGGTCCAGGCTGTGGACGAGTCGGGCCGACAGTCGGATGTCGTTCCTCACCACCGGTTTGTGGTGCGTCAGACCGTTGACGCTGCGAACCCGCCGGCACAGATCTCTGTTCACCACCGGAGCGAGTTCACAGTCTCTGAGCTGCAGAAAGCATAGAGGAGGTTATAATCACCATTGACACACCAGTGTGTGTGTGTGTGTGTGTGTGTGTGTGTGCGTGTGTGTGCGTGTGTGTGTGCGTGTGTGTACCCGGATGTTCTGCAGGTTCCAGCACGTCTCCTTGATGTTCACGCTGCGGTCAAAGGTCACCCAGCAGCGCCTGAAGAACCTGTAGCACAAATATTTACTGAAGCTCAGTTTAAAGAGCAACGCTTCCAAATCCATGCTTTTAAAACCGCTCAATAAAAAAAAGAAGCGTGGTGGCAGTTCTTAGATAAAGCGCCTTAAACACGTGAATACGTCTCGATCCACAGGCGGCGCAGTGTTGAGTGGTGAAACTGTATTGTTGTTCATATTCATGCTAGAAAATGCTAATTTTACTGGAGAAATAATTAAAATTGGTGCTTTCAGGACAAAACTTCATGTGATTCCTGAACTATAGTAACAGCGTCGTCCTGCTTAGAGAAGAATATCGTTTTTCTTTGGAGGACGCTGCTAAAGACCTGACTTCCTGTATAAATGCAAACGACAAGTGAAATGACGCTTTCAAGGAACGTTTTACTGAAGGACAACAGATTATAAACTTGCATGTTTCATGCATTGATAAGAATACACGGTGTGTTTGATGTCCTATCCTATATACACACATATATATATATATATAAATAGATCTGGTTTATTTATAAACAACTAAACAATCTGCTACACTTTACATATCAGTCCTTTAATGGCAGATGAAGCTGGGAGGAGCTAATGCAGGTGTTGCGACTGCACTTTTTTGTTCTCACCTCCTCTCGGGCTGAGGGTCCGACAGCGCCACCCGCAGGAAGCCTGCGTATCTGCGACACAGCTGCAAACACATGAAGGAGGTTAGCAGAGAGCCAGATGATGTGCACAGGTGTGTTCTAACTTGAACCTCCTAAGACCCAAACTCTTCCACGGCAGCATTTTTAATTTCTCTTTGATATTTAGGCACATTGGGACCTGATGAACGTAAAAACAAAGAATTACCAGCTTTTCTTTTTACCTGATTTTTGTTTCTAAGAACAATAAGAGCCACGTATGAGGATATACGTTTAAAATTTCAATAGAACAGTAGCAGTATGATGTCCTCGTAAGTGGATATCAGGCCCTTGTAGAGCAAAATTGAGTATTTTAGT